GAACCGCGGTCCCGGTGCTTTCCCAGGCTTGTTCTAAGTAGGTACTTTAGACCACTGAGCCATCTCTCCAGCCTCCTGTATTCTTTTTATATCATTTGTATTGACTCCTTATTTCTCATTGATGCCTATTGGTCTCATGTTGTTCATCTTTGCATCACCTTGCAGGTGATGAATAATTTTTTCCTGCATCCTAGTTGTTTTTAAGAGATCCTTTCTTACCTTTTCACTAGCTGCACCAGCATCTTCAAGATCTGAAACTGTATCTTCACTTTCACTCAAACGGTTTTGCAAGCTTGTGATTGAGTTTTTAAGTTCCACTATATCTCTTTGACTCTGCTTCATGTGATCCATTTCTTTCCTGTATTGCTCATTGAAGGATTCCATTGTTTTTCTCGTCTCCTCTATTTTTTTTAAATCAGTGTCTTCTTGAGAAGCAGTTATTGATTCCTTCATTATAGTTATCCTTTCTTTTTTTACTTAGAGGTTATTTCTGATCTGACTTCCTCTATATGTTTCTGCATTTGATTCTTCAGATGCTATTAATTCAGAGATTTCTTCTATTATTTCAGATCTGAGTTCCTCTGTACCTTTCTGCAGTTGTTTCTTTACTTCAGACACTATTAATTCAGACATTTCTTCTGTGCTAGTGTCTTCTGCACTTGTTCTGGGTGGGCTTGGGGCCTTAGATTGCATTTTGCTCCTTTTCATTGTCATTTTGTATAGCACTGTCCTCTGACCTTTGTTGTAGAGCTTTGGTGCAGTTATAACCTTAGTACCTACTAAAATTCAAGTGCAGATCTATGAAGTTTGAATTCATCCAGTTGTGCCTGGCTTGGGTCTGGCTACTATGCCCAGCTTCTTCCTGCTGCAGCCCTTGGAAGTGAACCTGTTGTGCCCCTCTGGCAAGATGTTCTGCTCCTAGATTAACTGGGTAGTTCTGGCCCCGAACCTCTCTGCAGGGACTTCAGCTGCAGAGTTTCACCCCAGGCCTGTATGCCAGGCCTGAGCTGGGTCTAGAGGGGTCCAGAGAGCAGGACAGAAGGACTCAGTCACAAGTGGGCCTGAGCTGTGTCCAGAGGGATCCAGCAGGCAAAGGGGAGCATGGAAGCTTTTCCTCACACTCACCAGGCCTGGGCTTGGGCTGGGTCTGGAGGGGTTCAGAGGGGTCCTGAGAGCACAGCTGGAGGTCTCTTTCACACGCCGGGCTTGGGCTGGGTTCAGAAAGGTCCAGTGGGTACAGGGGAGTGCGGTAGCTCTCCCACTCACTTGCTGGGCCTGGGCTTGGATTGGATCTGGAGGGGTCCCGAGAGCGAGAGTGTGGCGGAATTTCTCACTCTCCCTAATTGTTCTGTTGCCAGGCAGCAGCGAAAGAAAATGTTATAGGAATCAAATCCTTAAGTTTTTTCTTTTTTTCTGCTTTTGACAAACCACCTGCATGGTGTATCCCCTTAGGCTGCAATCCAGTCACAGCTGGATGGAGTGCGTACAGGCCTAAGCCAGCTCCACAATGCACTTAATGATGTCAAAGACATCCAACAGTCACTGGCTGATGTCAGTAAGGACTGGAGGCAGAGCATCAATACCATTGAGAGTCTTAAGGATGTGAAAGATGCGGTGGTACAGCACAGCCAGCTGGCCGCAGCCGTGGAGAACCTCAAGAACATCTTCTCAGGTGAGTGGAGAGGGCATGCTGGGGGCTGCTAAACTCTCTCAGTGGTGCCTTCCCATGGTTCACACTTGTTTTCCCTCTAGATGTGGGGAGCTCTGTAGGTATTATAGAAGCTAATCCAGCATTTTTGTGCAGTGTACATCTTAGACTATCCTAGAGTAGAGGAAAACCTTGCTTCCTGCCTGCTTACTGGCTTCTGTCTGGATAGGGGTGGAAAAGATGTCAAGAAAGTGCAAGTCGGTGGAGGGCATGGAGTTCTGTGTTAGGACAGAGCGTGGAAGTGGATGGCGGAGCCAGTGCTCTTGCAAAGAGGTAGCAGTGAATGAGTGGAACAGCAGTGAGGTAGCCGCACACATGCACACTACAGAGGCTGGGGCCTGGGAGGAGCAGACTGAGGTAGGGGTGAAGGCCAACCTGAAGTATGGGCATAGGAGAGCACAAGGCTCAAGTTGGGAAAAGTGGGTGTGGGGGAACAGATATGGCAGGTGATCTCAGTTTTGTGGACTGGAGTGGACCCAGCAGGAAAAGGAGGCAGAGGACTGTCCCTTCAGAGTCATCTCTCTGGTCCCAGCTAGTGGGATGTGGTGCTTTCTAGCCCATCATCAGGCAGTGTCAACTGTCCCTGCATGCTGGCCCCACAGCCTGAGTCAGGAAGTGTTGCCTTCTCTGCAGTCTGGGGAGGCTCAGGAAGGATTGTTAGCTTTCTATGTTTGGTGAATTCACCAGTGAATCTGGCAGATACAGGGTTTTTCTTTGTAGGGATATTGTTGATTACTGAGTTAGTAGTCAATAGTTGTGAACTAGCTGTGGATCTATTCAGATTTTCTGTTTGTGGCTCAATCTTGGTAGGCTGTATGTTTTCAGAAACTTGTTTATTGTGCCGTTTTCCACTCTGTTGGTATAACAAGTTTTCAATATACTATCTTTATAGTTCTCTTAGTTTCTGAGGATAGTTATGTCCCCACTTTTAATTTTTATTTAATTTTTCATTTATGTATTTGATACAAGATCTTACTACGTAGCTTGGACGTGTAGTGATCCTCCTGTTTTTAGCCTTCCCAGCACTGTCAATTTTTTTTTTTTTTTTTTTTTTATGTATTCAGTACAGGGTCTACAGGGTCTCAGTATACAGATCAGACACATGGTGATCCTCCTGTTTTCAGCCTCCCAAGCGCTGGGATTACAGGCACGTACCACGCCCAGTCTCAGTTGCTGTCTCAGCATGCCCTGGGGGCCAGGCCAGCACAGCACGCCCCAGGGATTGAACCCTGGTCTCTGCACCTGCCTAAGCAGGCACTTTTAGTCCTCTAAGCTATCTCTCTGACCCCCTGCCCCCCCCCCCAAAAAGTGGTTTTAAAGTATATCTGGTAAACTTCCATCTGGTGTTTTTCAGGGATGGTTTCTGTTGATTTTTATTTTCCTCTGAACTGCAGCATTTTCCTCTTTAGTATGTCTAATGATTTTTTTTGTAGTTAAAAATTTGACATTTGAATCTAATAAAATGCTGACTATGGAGTTAGCTCCATCACACTCTTTGAAGTTTCCTTTGCTGGCTCCTACGAGATGGCACAAATTGCTCAGGGAGCATTGTACAATTGCCTACCACAGGGTTGAGGTAGAGGTGGGCAATGAGTACTGTGTGGAGGGCTGGTATTGACCAAAACTAGCCCAATTTATGATCCAGGCCTTTCTCTGACAGTTGTCAGCCTTTAACAGACTCCAGAGTTCAAATTAGTAACATCAGACAGGTTGTAACAGTACAGATGCCCAGGCAGATGGACAGATGCTTAGTGTCTCCCAGAAATGCATATGGCCTTTGATGTGTTTTTTATGGTACTGGCTTGT